TTACTGTATCGGAATTGGTGGACCCCACACGTTTCAGGTCGGCCGGTAACTTGACGCAATGTGATTAAACTCATGGCAATTCGGACAGACAGAGCATCGGTTGTATAAAAGTTTTGTACTTGCTGTTGTGGGTTCGAATCCCGACGAAACCGCTGAGTTTTTCACAATCAGGTCTGATGAAAAATACGCTTACTCAAAGTTCTTTGGTTCGGAAAAAAGGTTCCTGCAATTTTTAAGAAGTTTACTGATGCTTTTATACGTTTAAATACAACCTGTGTTTGTTTCTCCCTCTAAGCGTTTCCCGTTACACACTAGGTATTTTTCTGAGCCCTCGGATAATATGGATCACATTACCTATTCTGTGGACAAGAGTAATAAACCCCAAACCTACACTAACAGTCCTGTGAGCGTCTCAAACATTCCCAGCTAATTTCTCCCCTCATTGTGTGAAATTGAAAGAAAACAATGAAAAACATTGCGGGGCTTTTTTCGATAGAATACGATCTACTTTATAGAGGTACCGAAAGGCGAAAGAAGTATTCGCACGTAGCTAGGCTTTCTAGAGTGACGCCTGTCCAATCAATAATTACCATGCTACCCTATGTGAATTATCTTAAAACTGAGTTGACTCAATTGTGAAAAATTCGCGGCCTCGGTGGGAGTCAAACACATACCGGGGAAGGCTTTTGCGCAGCCAATGCCCTCTCATTGCGCTAAGAGGCACAACATGCGCCGTGAATTTAATCACACTTGTATCGATTTCACCCACCCAACTTACTGCTTGTATGGAATCCACCATTACGAAACAGTAAGCTGACTGCCCAGACAGGATTTACTAAGCAATCGTCTAGAATGAACCAGAATGACTACTAGGTTCACTTAACGATTAGGGGGAGTTGGCAGATTTGCATAATTCAGTTGACACAATTGTGACTACTCTTCTCTTATCTTCCAATACATCAAGAAATTGCGGCTAATTCTCCACAATTTTCCCTCTCTTTGCAAGGTTTTGGCAACAAGTGCAATGAGAGAGAGAGAGAGGGCTCTACTATAGTTCATCACAGTTCAACACAAAATGCCAAGTCGCAAGAAATGCCAAAGACAAAAACACGAGTTAAGTAGGGAAGGAGAGTTATCCGATAGCAGGTGCATGTTTAACAACGAGGCGGTTGCAAAAACACGCCACGCCTTACTTTCGCCCACCTCTACGCACCACACACGCCTTCAGAAAAACAGTGATGGCTTGCTCCTTCGCCTGATTCACTCATAATTGTCTAGCCTTCACAACGCAGCAGAATGTCAAACAGACAAACAAACAAGCGAGCGAGCGAGCATGCACGGACGCGTTTTTGGACAAAGAACTTGCCTGATGCAGAATTGAGCGCAAATGCGTCACTTCATCGGCATCCTGCAAACGTCCAATGAGGACGTTGCCTTCAGCGTTGACCTGCTCAATGGCTGCCTCCAGGGAGGACCGGTCCTGGTGGAAGTTGGTCAGCTCGTCCTCCACGCCCTCAATGTTGGGCGGAAAGTGTTCACCGGGATTATAGGACTCACTGAAACCGTGCAGACAGGTGAGAACCTCTTTGGCATGGCCGTAGAAACCGCAGGCCAGATCCAACATCTCACGGCGAGTGTCTACCGCGTTGGTGAAGGTGGTTATCCGCCGTTGTAGTTCATTAGCTTCCTGTGTGGGTAGAATACAAAAAAGAGCGAAGTGATTTAGGACGCCATTTGTGTGTAGACTGTTACTAAACCACGGCAAGAAGGCAAAATGTCGTTGTGCAAAAGAGGCAGAATGTGGGAACTTGCCGCACTGACTCTGCTTTCGCCCGGCCAGGGCTTAAACCCATGCTTAGTGGGAACCACAGCAGACGCGTCTTCGCCGCGTTCCCACCCGCCGTCACGACGGCCAAGGTCTGCTACACCAATCTCCCTACGGTGGATCCATCTCCCCTCCTCTCCATCTGTGTTT